ATCTTGTAAAACAAGCAAAGAGGATGTACGGGGATAACCATCAGATGTGGTCAATCCATATCGTTGGAGACGCTTTTTAACGGCATTAACAGGAGCAATTATCTCAGTGATGACAACAGATTCAGCGGAAGAACCGGCATTTGGCAAAAGGGCAAGAATAGAAGAGGTCTCAGAAGAAACATACTTTTCCACCTGTCTCTGAAATTCGTAAAAGGAGTTTGTTAGCTCTTCTGGTAGAGCTGGTTCTGCTACATGCTTAGACAGGACAGCTTCCTCACTCTCTTCTGCTTTGGCATTGACGTCTTGCATCCATATCTTCAACAAGTGCTTGTACCAATGATCAGTTTCCATACCAAACTTACGGAAATGGGAAATTTGGTTCAGAACAGAACTACTGTCAGCTAAATGCTTGATCTCTGACTCCTTGACCTTCTTCAAACCATGACCTAACCATTTCTTCCCTATATGAACCGTCCCAACATTCCAGGCCTCTTGCTTCTGTAGACCAAACAAAGCTACTTTTTCCTTCAACTTGTGGACTGCTTTTGTGGCAGGACTTTCTATCACGTTTCTTCTAACCAAAGTGCCTAAAAAGCGAATCCCATGCGGTTTTTGACATGGCAATAATTCTGTTTGATCATCGACTTCCAAGTGCAAAGACTTCTGCAAGTAGTTTAGGACCTCAGATTTGAACTCAAGAGCAGCATCCTTAGAACCAGAAACGAAAAAAATATCTCATCCATGAAGCGACAAGAATGGACCCTTGCGCTACAACTCTCTTCACCCGCACAGCCAAGATCATTATTACCTTTCAGGTGTCTCCTAAACCAGCTGCGCAGCTTAGACTGGGAATTTTGATCATTTTGAGAATCTAGACTGAGAGCTTCATATTTCATCGACAATCTGTAAAATTCACGGTCAAATTGGTCGAGATATATATTCATTAATATAGGGGACAATATTCCCTCCTGTGGAAGACCATGACCTTTCGGGAAACCACCAAACTCCAAGTTGAGCACATTGGCATGAAACATGCTTTTGATCATATCAAAGAGGCTGGGGTCTACTATCTTGCCCTCCATTGCTTTTAAGAGTTCGCCAAGTATACAAGCATCTAGCTTTTTATTTAAGAGCACTGTAAACCACCAATCAGGATTCGAAATCTCCTTGCTAATGTACTTCAGAGCCGTGGAATGCCCCCTCCCACTTCGATAACCATGTGAAATCTTAGAGAAGTCGGGCTTGTAAACAACTTCAAGAACAACTCTGATGGCTTCTTGAATGACCTTCAGATTTAGATTAGGAAGTACTAAGACTTCATTCCCTACACCCCTTTTTGAGATAGAAAAGGTATTGGCATTAGCATCAAAACTCCCATGACGCATCTCTTCAGCCATAGAATCAAAAGAGTTTTTCGCATCACTTAATGCTATATCAACATTTGAGTTGAGTCTAATACAATCATAAGCATCTTGAAGAGTTTCTGGATTGGCAATTACTTTTACCATTAGGTCTCGAAACTTCCCATTGATGTATTGTTCCTTCACTCTCTTCTTTATGCGCAATTCAAGACACCTCTTGAGTTGCATTCGGCCCTTGGGTCTTCTCTCATTGATATGAGAGGACTCCTCTACCAGACAGGCTAAATTCTCTGCCAATTTCATTTTACGAATGCCACTATTGACACCATCAGCGGCAGCACTGGCAACAGCACAATGATCTGCAGATTCTTGTACTCTTTCCGAAGCTCTATCATAACCAGCTGCGGCAGCGGTAGTAACCTTTTCTGTGTTTGAACGAGTGCCCGACTCCACAACCACCTTTTGTACCTTATCGCAGAGGCCAGCAGTGAGAGTGGCAGCTTTTCTGGCAACAGCAAGCCTTTTTTCAAAAGACATAGAAGAAAATGTTGCTTGTGCTACTCCTGCTGCTTGCGAGGCAGAGCCGTTTCAGAGATTTACGAGGCCCTCTGCAAAAACAAAACATAGGGAGGGTATTCAGTTACAGTGAGAAGGATGGGCAATTGCGATAGTATGTTGAACATTTTGTGGAAGATGTGGCGTGCATTGGGCTATAGGGAGAAGCACAATGTGCAGCAGTGCAGGTGCATATGCATATGAAGCATTTCGTCGAACATTTGGCGTGCATCGAAGGACATTGACATTATCAAACTTTAAGCATGAACTAACCTTGGGAAGTATCTTGGAGCAGCTTCGAAGATACTTCATCCAAGCAATAAGATTAGCAGCTGCTCCGGCAGAGAGAGAGAGAAAGAGAGAGAGAGAGGAGGAGGAGGAGGAGACGGAGGATGATTGGTTGGTCGCCGGTGGTGGGAAGGGTGGGTGTTTTTCACAGTTAATGAGTTGTGTTTCCCTAAGAAATGTAAAAATTGGCTCCTTTCATCGTTAAAAATGAATGCGATCGTAACCGTTTATAATTGTTCATATTTTAAATTATTTTGTAATAGTAAATATATAATCGGTTTATAATTCTTTAATTATAATCATTTTTTTTAAATAATTCAATAATTAAGTCATCTTATTTTAAATTGATTTGTAAAATTGACTTTTACATGGTAATTAATAATATAAACCGTTTTGATTATACGCCCGAACTTCCATAAATAAATAACAAAGCATCTGAAGCAGGAATTCGTTCTCATCTATTGAGAAGTCAAGTTAATTCCTTAATTGAAATAGTTCCTGCAAGACTTTTTATTATATTATTATTACAAATGATATGCAACACTAACCTACATGAGAAAATAATATTTGAGCCCAAAATGTTACGTATTAAAAGATAAAAAATCTAACCGCCAAGACAATCCATCACTTACACTTGTTTTAAAAAATTAATTATTACTTTTATTTTTCTTTTTAATCAATTTCATATTGTTTTTCTTTTTGAAATTACACCACCCAATAGCCCGATCACTATTGCCCGTGAAGTGATTTCCAAATCCATGGACTCCTCCCCAAACCTTTGAAGTCCCTAAGGCTATAGCTAGAGCCAAACCGGCCTTGCCCGAGTTGGTTCGGTTTCTTTATCATCATTGTCAATGTCGAGAACCGAACCAATTGTATCATCCGGTTCAGTTCGGGTCAAAGTGGATAGTGCCCACCTCTACTTGCTAACTATTGAGCATGTGCACAATTTAGGTTGGCTGCTATCGAACACTGAGACTCATGCTGCCTTTCCAGTATTTAGCAGAAAGCAACTGAATATTTTGAGGATTTCCGGTGTTGGGCTACATAACCGTTGTACAGTTTCCGGCTATTGCGAAAAACCGGGACTGAAGCGGAACCTAAATCTTGTGAATATAAGATGTACATACCTCATTATATCTTGTGATACAAACCATACAAACAGACCTCAAAACCTACATCTTCTGAAGTGCTTTTTACAGGACATCATATCCATACCGAAAATGTTGGTGCTTTCAGGGATAGGCGTGTATACCACCAACATATGTTGCTTCAACTAATGCAGATTATTCAGCCACGACATCATCCCACGAATCCATGGACAGTATGACAAAGTCTGCCAGTTTGCCGGGGCGATAGAGATCCCAAATCACTGTCAAGAAAGCATGCGCGAGCAGCTGAAAGAGCACCTGTCATGATTGTGAATGTATCATGTGGAACTGTAAGAGAGATGAAACACGAAACCGTGTTAATCAGTCGGGTAACTTGATGCATTCTGGGGTGACTTTGGACTGGGACACCAGTAAGGAAGACGCGAATAGCCTAAGTAGCAGTCTAAAGACGAATTATGTCAACGAATACATGAAATCTCAAGGATCAAATGATTCGGCGTTCCCTACCCCTTCAATGCCTCGTTCAAAGAAAGTTTTTCTGTGGGAATCCAAGCGGTATCCCAACCATGGGGAATCCTTTTCATTGCTGTCTTAATACCACCTAAAGATTAATATCCGAGACCTGCGAGAACAGCACCAATCTAAAATTATAATGTTAAACACTAAATAAAAAGTACAACGGTGAGCCACGTGCATGATTATGAGTGAATATATCTACGAGAGTCGTTATATTTATACTTACTGGAAATAGGAACCAAGATTGTCCATTTCCATGTCCACTCAAGACATACCTTTCGAAAAACAAATATTTTGAGTAGGTTCTTTTTTAAACCACAAAAGCCGGGCAATCCATGTATGCAAGAATAAAAGACTTCATCCCTATGCAGAAAGCGATGCAAATCGTGTAATCAAACCTGTACTGAAGCAACAGTCCCAAGTACCCCAAATCGAGATTATGGAGTTCATTTGTGAGGTAGCAGCCACCACTCGAACTGGAAGGTTCTTCTTGACGGATGAGATTCTTCTCTGTATCTTCATAGCCAAAGAAATTTGGTGAATATATTACGTTTGTTTATTGCAATGTTTGAGAGTCAGTTTCGAGTATTTGTGTCCTTTTGTCACACATTTGATCCTCCAAAGGTTTTCAAAGTGAAATCACTTGTTTGCTTGGCAAAGATACTTAAATTCTTTAGGTTTAATTATACGTACATGTCAATGTCGAAGGAGCTTCAATTGAGAGATTCCTCAAATAAGACTCACTCCACAAGTACATACACGATAGCAACCGTGTAGTATTTTTGTATTTAAATGAACAATTTTTAATAGATGGCTGGGATTAATGACATAAATCCAGAAGATGCAAAAGTTATAAATAGCTTAAGTTACTTATCAGCCAAACAATTCAAGTTAAAGATGGCAAGGACAGAATAGTACGGACGAGAGAGAGAGAGAGAGAGAGAGAGAGAGAGAGTACATAGCATAGAAGCAAAAGATGGGAAAATATATCGACTTTATTAAACTTGAATCATGGTTTATACATGAAAAACAATCAATAAGAACAACTTATATGATCTTTGCCTATGAACAAGCCTCAAATCTTTTCTTACACTCCGAACTCTAAATCATCTTCACAAATAAATCTAGATGCTGTGAATTAGTTCATCTACTTCTTGAAACCACTATGCTAACTCCTCCGCAACCGTTTTCTTTGACTACCCTCTTGCCTGCATTTAGCATGCACTATAGGACCCAACTTTGACCTATCCATGCCTTCTGTTGATCCCTCAGGCGCATTCAAGTACACAGCATCTTTATACATCCACTCCTCTCTCTCATGACTATAAAAATCATCAAAGCACTCTCTACATAACACGCACGAAGTCTGATCTTCTTCAGCAGGAATAGCCACTTCTTCATCACTATTCTTCTTTTCCACAGTGGTCTCAGCAGACATAAATTTAGGAGCTGCATTAGTACACAATGCCTCTGCAGCAATAAACCACAAGCTCATATTCACAAACCATTTACGAGAGGGCTTCAGCTTACGGCTTTTAGACATACAGTTCTTGGTTACATGCCAATCCATATGCTTACTATGCTCTTCTTGGCACTTGAACCTACGGCCACAGGTTGTGCATTGTCCTGGAAGATCACCGTATAGAGCAGTTATTACAGATTCATGCCGCACCTTGAGAGGGTAGGCCTTAAACTCAACTCCTAAAGAAACCTGGGGAGGGGTTTGATTTGTCACTGAGATCAAACCTTGGGCCAAGAGCGAAGTAATCAAACCAGAATATGCACTGATGCCGGGCTGGTTGCTAGAGGCAACTGGATAAGGGTTCTGAACCGGAAGTATGTCTTGTGGGTAAGGAGGGGGACCTGGTGGTAGAAGTGGCATGGCTTGTTTTACAATAAAAGGGCCTTGATTCCTCTGGTTCTGCTGCATAGATAACGTTGAGTGCACAGTGGGAGCAGGAGGGCTAGAATTATGCATGTTTACATGAGGCCTTGAATCCACAGATGGCACCGGCATGAGAGATTGAGAGTCTACACTAGAAGTAGAAGACGGCACTGATATACGAGTCACCACAAAGGGCATCTGGAAAGGCATAATCGGGCAGGCTTGCTGAGGAGGGTAGTGAGAACCCAAATTACGATTTGCCTCAGATTGGAATTGAGCAACCCTACTACCGTCTTTTCCATATGCGCCCCTAGGTCTCTGATGTTCAAGTCCTCCATTACTGCGGTTATTATGACATGCAGGTGCAACACAAGTAGTAGTGTCAAACCCTAACCCTAGCCCTGGCCCTTTATGACTACCATCAAAATAGCGTTTTCTAAGGCAATCATAATTGGGTCCCTCATCTCCGACCAATTGCTCCTCCATTAAGTCTACAATCAAACACAAATCCAGACGGAGACGGGGATGCCCTAACAGATAACATATCTGAAATCGAAACCGATACCTAAATTGAAATCTCGCAGTTGTAGTTTACTCAGTTATCTGTTTTGGGTCACAGAAAGAGAAAGCAATAGGCAGCAATTTTACTTTCCAAAAATGTGAGCAATATATCGTAACAATCAATTCCCAATTCTAATAGGAAACCTAACTCTACTGGGAACAACAGGAAATCCCAAATCAACTAGGAATAACAGGAAATCCCAAATCAACTAGGAAAATCCAACCAAACCCTAAAAGAAATCGCAAAATTATATAATTGAAGTATAACAAACAAAAAACGAAATCCAGAAGCTTTGAATAAAGAATTCAAAATTTAGAACGTATCTTTGATCGCCGACGGTTGTGGTGGGTTTTGATGAAATCGCCGGCCGTCTCTCACGGCACGGAATGGGCAGCCACGGCGGCGGCAAGATAAGCGAGAACCAGGGGCCGGAATCGAAGACGACGACGTCGTTTGTAGAGAGCACAAGGAAAGGGAATCGACGGAATGGAAGAATGGAAGCGTAAGAACGTGGAAGAAGACTGACGAGAGCAATTGATATATAATGCGCGCCTTCCTTCTTTCACCCAAAAAAAATGTACGCGCTTTTTCTACAACGGTAACTTGAAAAAAAAAAAAAAAAATTTCAAATTTCAAACTGTTTTGTTTATTGGCAGGTTAGATAAGGACTCCCGGACCACAAAGATGTTAATAAGCTGAATTGGCTTTGCATTCAGTAGTTGCACAATAGACGATCGTCAAGACCCGAAATTTAACCTATTTCAATTTGATTGGCCATAAATTTAAACGAAATCAAGATTGAGAGGCAATTTTAAAGAGAAATCATCTTAAAGGATTACAGATGCGGTGCCGCCCTAGTTAGATTCATTCTCTACTTATCTCCCACATTGGGGACAGATCTAGCATTCAAAACCCGGGTGAGCTGAAATTTGAAGGTATACGTGTAATTAGATGTTTTAGTTGGGCAACTATTTAGTACTACGAGTCTAGTGGTATTTCTCTTCACAGTGAGAGGTCTTAGGTTCGATTCTCACCAAAGGAAAATTTGAACCACATTATTGCCAGCCTAATGTGAGGCTTAGCCCACTCCTCTCCCAATAGTATAGATAATATCGTATGTTCCAAAAAAAAAAAAAAAAGATGTTTTAGTTGGGCTGATGGGGCTATTATATAATTATTAGCTGGAGAGTCGAATTATCAGTTGGGACCATAGAAAATGAATATGCTAATAGAAGTTATAGATTCGATCAAGAGGAAAAAACCATATCCCATGTCTTGAACATGATCATGCAACAAGCCCTTTAAGGGGATCAGGCTATAGCCCAACTGAGCCAGGGCTAGGCATGTCCCTGCCGATTGACATCGCATCTCTCCCATCCATTATCTGCTCATTGCTCACACCATCATCCATCGCACCCACCCTATGCTCATCTCCCACATTTAAACTAGTCCCGGCCTTTACCAAACGTGGGTTATCGGTCTTAGCCAAGGTAGTCACACTTTACACGGTGTAACAAACGGATCCCAAGAGTTTGCATTATCTTGGTTTTGGTTGTTCCTGCATTAGACTTGGTATTATCATGTAGTTCAATTTCTTTGCATTTTTCTGCAGTCCATCTGGGTTTAGTCACTATGGCCTTCAATCAATTGCAACAGAAGCACCCATAGACAACTGAAGCTCGGGTTTCATGGTCATAAGCCACCAAGGCACGTTTAGATACCTAGCGAGAGTAAGATTTTCGACTTGAGAAATGGCGAGTCCTTTTCTGAGAGATGCCATCAGTAAATATGCTAGCCAAAGAACGAGTAATTTCTCAAACATCAAACAGCGGTTGTATAACGAACATGATCCACCACAAAATTGATAAAGGAAATATTGATTATTGAATAAAAATGATTCATAATCAGCATATTACAATCCAAGTTTTCCTTTATATTCTCCAACAAGCTAACATAGAGAAGGAAAACATCTTTATTTCATAGCCATGTAAGTAGATTGTCAAGCATTCGGTACTTTAGTATTGAAGTTGAGATTTGTAGACATCGAGGCCAGAGGTTGCTGGAGTTATTGGGCACAGCCTGATTGAGAATGAATACGGAACAGCAGGAATCAGATACTCCTTGTGGACGCAGGGGGACCAACTATCATCCCCAGCCAGGCCCATGTGCTTGTGATCAAGATGAACCTGTAGCACCATAGACCGTAAGCACCCTAAACCGTAAACCATTCTTTGTATATACTCGTATTAAATACAATGGACATCTGAGACAAATCGACTCGTACTGAAATGAGAGGTACTAACTAAAAACGCAGAAGAAATTACCTCAATGTCATCTCCTTTGACAAGGTTGTGATTGTGCGTTGCACGGTCAAGCTCAGCTGTGGTGTAATAACTTGCATTTATTTGCATAGGTGGAGAGCTGCCATATATTGAAGCATAGATTCCGAAACCATCCTTGTTTTGAAATGTCACCCATCTAACATCCGCCCTACCTGAACATTCCCCAGGAACTATGTAAGGGACATGCATATCACCCACATTCTGCTCGTAGACCGCAACATGAGCAGCTGCTTTTCTGTCCGGATAGCATTCAAACGGTCCTCTTCCATACCATTTAATCTGGTCCATCGACTTATCCAAATGGAACTCAACTCCAACACGTGGCAGAGGTGGAAGGTTCGAACTTGGTCTTGTATTGCATTCAATGACAACATCTCCTGAACCGTAAATTGTGTAAATCACATCAATCTCAATTAATGCGCTTTCCTCCTTGGATAAAGAACCCTCCTCACTTTTGGGAACACCAAGAAAAACCGCAGCTACTCTCACAAGATGGTCAGTCTTAGTTTGTATAGAACAGCTTTTGGTGATATAATTGAGGCTATCAATACGAGCAGCTTTCCACAAGGAGAAATAACTACTGTCACCTCCTCCTTTGTCATTATCTGTGGGTGCTCGCCAGAAACATGGAAATATGCCTTTCGTCATCAAAGAAACTCCTTCAACCTACCATTTTTTATTTTCAAAAATAGGATTCAGAATGAGTGTTAGCGCAAATTGAGAACTACACTCTAAGAGGCCCGGCATAAGAAAAGTTTACAACCCTCAATCCACACGAGAAAGAACATCTAGCAGAGAAAACAAATAAAGTAATACAATAGTTATCCTCACAAACAGAACAGTAACTAGGCAAATACAATCATAAACCCTAAGATGCAGCAGCTTCAGTCCAAGTTTACAAGAATGAAGGAGCAGTCACGAAACTAAGAAGAAACAGATCAAAAATCATTAGAGACAGGTGGAAAATAGAGATGGTAATGGAATGATCCATTATTAATGTATTTTAAAAAAAAACTTGCGCTAGACACCTAGGCCTTCTTTACATGTCTAAATGTGATAATGAAATGTTCTCAACCAAGAAAAGGAGGGAGGAATCCTATGGAATTTGAAAATCTTTGGCGGGGACAAAGAAGGGAACAAAGATGCAAGCAATTGAAGCATTATTAAACCAAGAATTCCTATGGAGGCGAGGAAAAATTGCACTAAAACAGGATTCTCCATCCCAGATATCTTCCTCGAAATGACACCTCTAGTCTGACTATGTAACAGAATAGAGGATAACATGAAAAGGCCGTAACAGATGGATTTCCATTTCTGACCCGTCCCACCCATTCACATGTAAACCGTATGTACTTCATATAACTAAGTTCCAAATAGAAATAATCTAAGTATGGTAAGAATGGATTCTGGTTTATCGGAAACAGGAACGTGACAACCTCGTATATAATGTATTATCCAAACACTGAAGACTTCCTGGAGGGATGGATGAAATCGTTATCAAACAATTTTTGTAAAAGGTCGTACCCAGTGCACAAGGCTCCCGCTTTACGCAGGGTCTGGGAGAGGTGAATGTCGGCTAGCCTTACCCCCATTTTATGGAGAGGCTGCTCCCAAGTCTCGAACCCGAGACCTACCGCTCATGGGCGAAGGCACTTGCCATCGCACCAAAGGCTCCCGCTTTATTTTTGTAAATAAAAATAAAATGTGTTATCACCAAGAAAATAGAAAAAGGTGAGAATACCTTCCAGCTTTCAACTGCTCCCGTTTTAACGGGAGAGGTGAATGTCGGCTAGCCTTACCCCAATTTTATGGAGAGGCTGCTCCCAAGTCTCGAACCCGAGACCTACCGCTCATGGGCGAAGGCACTTGCCATCGCACCAAGTGCGACCTCTTTATTTTTGTAAATAAAAATAAAATGTGTTATCACCAAGAAAATAGAAAAAGGTGAGAATACCTTCCAGCTTTCAACTGCTCCCGTTTTAACATTCAATATTATCTCCCAAAGGTTCTGCTGACTCACTTTAATTGTATCCCCAAGAATTTCACTGATGAATGTAGCTTCTTTAGTCTTGATGACCTGGAAAGCAAGGCCAGTTGTAAAAATTGTTTTATATGACAAAAGCTGTAAGATTCATTCTTATTGTCTAACTAGGTATTAAGAAAAAAACAATTACATGAGGAACAATTTCTCTCTTGGAAGGCAACTGGACTTGTGTAGATGAGATGACATGACCAGCTTTAACCCACTTTGTGGAATGCAAAAGCTTAGCAGTTATTGTTAGAAAATATTCCTCCGCAAATGATGAAGTCCATAGAGGATACCATGGAGCTGACTTCCACTCAATAGAAAAACTCTTCTGAGGTTCAATCAAAGGAAGAGGCAGAATTCCAGATCCAAGTTTATATCCATCCCCATGAGCAGACCAGCTGAACTCCAATCCTTGTGTTGTTTCATAAAAGTGAGTATTTGTTATCTGTGAGGTGATATCAGTTACAGAAACATTTAATAAAAAGAAAGAAAAAGAATAAAGCAAACACAAATATGTGAAAAGTACCTTTACTGCTTCTTCCCTGAATGAAAC